GGCGTAATTCCACGCGTTATATTCCCTACGCCTCTATTTCCACGCGTTGAATCTCCACGCGTTATATTCCCTACGCCCCTATTTCCACGCGTCATATCCCCTACTTCCCGTACTTCCATGCGTTGAATCTTCACGCGACGTAATTTCACGCGTTATATTCCCTACGCTCCTGTTTCCTCGCGTCGTAATTCCACGCATTATATTCTCTACTCCCCCCATTTTTACGCGGCCGTGTTTTTCCTTAATAATTCAAAGACAAAGCTTCACACCCCATTTTTGCAAAGGGAAATCTTATTCAGAATCCCATCAGCTACCTCCCATTTCAGAGACCTACATGAATTGTGAAACACCCTGCACAATACCTTATAACTCTATAATTCCGCATAAATTTTGTAACAACTCAGTAATTCGCAACAATTCTACAACTTTACAATTATTGCAAAGTAGAGAATATCCAGTATTATTGTATAAAATCCAGCATTATTTCCAGTATTAAAACAGCAAATATTGCAGCGAAAGCCGTCGTTTTTAACGTACCTCTCTCAGCGAAATAACATAATATGAAAATGAACTCCGACGCAAAATAGCGGAATACCGTATATTAATGCGAGTAACAGTAGATCGCAGACGTCGAACAATATCGAATATTAATATTTCCTACGTAACTTTGTGTCCCCCGCGATGAAAGCGGATCCGACGATAGCTTTCGGACTGCAAAGCTCCCGTACGGAAGTTCTGTTATTGACTGATAGCCTGTCGTCCCGATAACTACGTCCCGTGTAAATAATTTATCGCGACAGGGACCAAAATGGAGGAAACGAAGCGGCATCAACGTTGATACCGGCGTCGCACAATTTTCGTCCCCAGGAATTGACGTTTCGTCGATAAAGTTCCTTTAACGCCACTTCGTCCACCAAATGTTCTTCCTGTCTTTCCCTTTCGCTCATTCTCTTCGAATTTGCAGATTTCGCGAACTTCCTTTTACGAGCGCAATTCGGTTACTACCGTTCCTGAATTCATTGTGTGTGGCTGCGGGAAACTTCTACGAATTATTCCCATCAAACCTTCATTTGTCTACGTTTTGATTAAAGAGTTTATACTTCCTCGATCGATAGTTTTGTTGATTGATACGAAATTTTTTAGTTGGAGTATTTAGATGCAAGAATGATAATATTTACTTGGAAGAAATTTGCATAATTTGTGTTGGTACGTAGATGGAGGTTAGAATGGAATTTTATGTGGGGGCTGATGTTTTTGGGCAGGTTATTTAATTATTGTTGTAATGTTAATATAACTGAAGAAATCTCAAATTTTAGGTGCATTATTCTTTCAGCAATCCTTAGTGCTGATTATAATTCGAATCGAATGCAAAAATTAATTGCAGTAAAAATTCGAGACGGATTTATCACTTTCGAACTGTAGTGTGCGTCACGAGTGCGTCACGATATTGCAGGCCAAGCTTAACCAGTTAACTGTGCAATTTGGTATTAAAAATCCTCGACGCGTAATTAAAGCAACGTACGTTGAATGTAGAGCAGATCCCGTCGAAAAACTCGATAAAATGTTCCCCGGTAAAATCAACAGTGACGTAATAAATGATGCGACGCATACGTTGCGTCACGAGCTTCGCTACACAGAAACAAGTGTATCGAAGTTTCGCGAGCGAAGCGAAAGAATTTAGTCGACGAGAGACTCGTATCAAAAATTGAAAAACCCGAAGGTATTCGTGTGTTTCGTAGTTGTGTAGGTACGAGTCGAGGGATGTAGGCAAACGGGAGGACGAAGAGATAAAGTGAACGACCCGCTTTTAATCGACAACGTAATGTCAGTATCAAATAAAAGTTTTATAAGAGTTGGGAACTTGAATTTCTTAAATTCGAGTCCATCAGAAAGAATATAAAAATAGATAACTCACCGTTTCCTTCTTCTTTCGGGCGTTGTCAAGAGTCAGCTCGAACCAGGACCACTGACCGAAAGGATCCTGCGAATCGATCGTGCTGCTTCCAGTGCGATGCAGCATACCAATGTCTGCTATGTTCAGCCACAAATTTGTGTTCAAGAAGATGATTCGATACTTTTCCGAGCGCTGCTCTATCGTGTAATATCCGGCTGTAACAAGTGCACGAAATCGGCGGATAAGCTTAAGCCAGCGATTTATACGCTCTTTTCTTTCGTGATCTCCCATCGTAATTCCTGCGGGCAACGGTGCTCGCTAATGGACTTTTATTGAAATCGCGGACACAAGATGGTTTCGGCAAATTTTTATATCCTCGGACTTTATTCGCTTGCGATACCATATTTTCGAATCTTAAAGCGCAGGAAAATTTCAAATTTTATTACCTTCAGTTTATTAGAAATTAATTGTTGGAAATTTTCATTTTAAGCGAAATTGCAGGGCTGATGCTGTAAAGTAGTTGTCGAGTAATTGTAGTAAAATAGATGTAAAAGTGGCTGTAAAATGGCTGTACTCGTAGTAAAGTGTTTACGAATATAATTTAATTCAGGTATTAAATATTTATTAATTTTAGCGGAAGTTTCTGATGAAAGCACATAGTGTACTTCGTGCAAAATACATACTTTTTACTACAGTTTTTGTGGAGTACGTAACTTTAACTTTTGTGGATGTGAAGCATATAAAATACATAGTTTTCATTTAATTTCATGTAAAAAATAACAACAAAATTTTATTACAATTTACAAGTATGAAGTACTTATTACTGTCTCTTTATTACATTATGTATTTACTTATTTTAGCAACATTTTGCTCCAAATTGTACTTCGTTTTCCCACATAATTTTTACTCGATATCTTGTTCATGAACACAACACGACCTCCTAACAACATAATTGATGTAACAAATGTTCCAAAATTATCAAATTATTCTACAACATGCATTTATAATAAACTCCTGAAAAGAATCTGCATCAAATATTCACACTATCCATTTCCATTAAATGTTCAGAGCACATTTTTCGCGTTACATTCGAATTCTCATAACATATTCAAGAATTGAATTTTCAATTAACACTTTGTCGCGCCATCCATATATGAATGGTTAAATTTCCATACTATTCTTAAAAATTTGTTCGATTATCTAATTAAAAATACTGTGAACTACTTGCAACTGTAAATAATAGATATAACGAATATTTTTGTATATTGTATACATATTATATGTTTCAGTATTGGGTTATTCACAGAAAATGCAAGAAAGCTTCAAATTTGTTGTTGAAACCTTTCATTTTCTTTAATGAGTAATGATGGTTAATGGAGAAGATAATATTCAGTGAAATATTTCGTGAATGACAGGAATTCAAGCTATGAAATAGTTGAAGACAAGAGAAATGTTGAGAAATTAGGAGACGCAGTGTAGCGGCGTTTTTGCGTTACTGCGCATGCGTAACAAACATGGCGTCGGTGTGCCACGAACTTATACTGAAACTTATAGGTTAACTTTCCCAAACTTATAGATTAGGAAGAAAATTTGCAAATTTTGGGGCTTGCAAGGGGAACAATTTAGAAGTTTGGGAGTTTGGGAATTTAGAAATTTGGGAGTTCGGGAATTTCAGAGTTTAAAAAATTTTGTACTTGAACTTTGGAAGAATTAAAAATTTCTACATTCTTAGTTTGAAATTTGCAAACTCTTAAATTTTAAAAACTCTACATTTGCACATTTTTAACCTTTAAGTTTTCAAGCTCCTAAATTTAGATACTTCTATATCTTAAAATTTCTATACAGAAATTTAAAAACTCGAAAATTCTTAAATTTCCACATAAAAAATTTGTAACTACTGCTAAAATTTCCAAACTCTCCAATTCTCACATAGAAATTGTCAAATGTTAAATCTTGAAAATGTCCAAACTATAACTCCCTTACAAAAATTGTGAAATTTTGAGTCACGAAAATTAAACAGTCTCCCACGTTCTGAAACTTTGTTTCGATGAAACCAATAGTATCGATGAACACGGAGTGTCCTCCATCGGAGAACACTAAACGCAAACGTTCTAAAGAAGAAACGTAAATGCCGTCAGAGAGCATGTTCCTAGAGTTGGAACTATTAATTCGCAAGCAGCGTACGTTCTTCCGGCAAGCCGGTGGCCTTAAGTCTCTGTCCCTTTTGATTTAATCCGATTTTCGTGTTCTCTGGCAAGCATACTACCCATTAGGAAACACCGTGGCTCTCTGTCCATAGAAATTGCAGTCCGTGGCATGGTAAAAGCCAGTGGCACAGAACGCATTTGGTGTACTCACCGGTTCGAAACGTGTCCAGGGCCTCCTGCGGCAGCCATTGCTGCCAAAGTACGGCCAGCTGAGAGAAGCTCACTGTTATGTCCTCGTGTCCGAGGGCGGGGAACACAAATTGTTCCTTAAACGTGCGGGACAACAGATCGGTCAAATTCCGCAAACATTGCAGACGCAATTCGCCGTTCATATCGGCCGTCCGGGTCAACGCGTCCCTGCAACAAGTAGTTACAGCCTCATTAACCCATTGCACTACAATCACCGGCTATCCTCGTCACGCACTCGCGCTTCGAGTATGGTGCTTCGATTTTATGGGACGATTGAAGTTTCGGTTTGGATTTAATTGTGTTTGGAAAAAATTGGAGATTGGAATTTTAGGAGGTTGGGAATATGGAATGTTGGAAATTTACGAAATTTGCGAATTTTGGGACTTGCAAGTGGGGAAATTTAGAAGTTTGTATTGGAGATAAAAGCGATATAAGAGCGATACACGAATTAGCATTAACATTTGTCTCCATCTAGCGATGTTAATCATCATTGTTCGTTCCTTCTTGTGTTCGCATGTTTCGATTCAATTTTGTTCTCTAATATTCTTCTCACGTAATTCTGATTGTATTTTGTATCGTTCTTAAATAAATAGTTTTTGTGCTTTGTATATAATTAATTACGACACTATTCGTCCACGGATCTCCTCGTCTTCAACAGTTTGTCAATTTGGAAATTTTACAGTTTAAAAGATCTAATATTTGAACAATTTTGGAAGGTTGGGAATCTTGGAATTTAGAAATCTTGGAATTTGGGAATCTTGGAATTTGGGAATCTTGGAAATTTGGAAATTTGGAATCTTGGAATTTGGGAATTTGGGAATTTTGGAAATTGAAAAATTTGGAAATTGGGAAATTTGCAATTTGGGAAATGTGGAATTTGGAAATTAGGAATTTGAGAAATTTGGAATCTTGGAATTTGGGAATTTTGGAAATTGAAAAATTTGGAAATGGGGAAATTGGAAAATTTGGAATCTTGGAAATTGAAAAATTGGGAAATTGGGAAATTTGGAATCTTGGAAATTTGGAATCTTCGAATTTGGGAATCTTGGAAATTTGGAATCTTGGAATTTGGGAATTTTGGAAATTTGGAATCTGGGAAATTGAAAAATTGGGAAATTTGGAAATGTGGAATTTGGGAAATTTGGAATCTTGGAAATTTGAAATCTTGGAAATTTGGCATCTCGGAATTTGGGAATTTTCGAAATTTGGAATCTTGGAAATTGAAAAATTTGGAAATTGGGAAATTTAGAATTTGGGAAATTTAGAATTTGGGAAATTTGGAATTTGGGAAATTTGGAATTTGGGAAATTTGGAATCTTGGAAATTGAAAAATTTGGAATTTGGGAATTTTGGAAATTTGGAATCTTGGAAATTGAAAAATTTGGAAATTGGGAAATTTGGAAATTTGGAAATTTGGAATCTTAGAATTTGGGAATTTTGGAAATTTGGAATCTTGGAAATTGAAAAATTTAGAAATTGGGAAATTTGGAATTGGGAAATTTGGAATTTGGGAAATTCGGAATTTGGGAAATTTGGAAATGTGGAATTTGGGAAATTTGGAATCTTGGAAATTTGAAATCTTGGAAATTTGGCATCTTGGAATTTGAGAATTTTGGAAATTTGGAATCTTGGAAATAGAAAAATTTGGAAATTGGGAAATTTGGAATTTGGGAAATTTAGAATTTGGGAAATTTGGAATTTGGGAAATTTGGAATTTGGGAAATTGAAAAATTTGGAAATTTGGAATTTGGGAAATTTGGAATCTTGGAAATTGAAAAATTTGGAAATTTGGAAATTTGAAAACTCAGAAAATTTCTAAATTTTCCCATTATCAAATTAAACAATGAAAATTAAAAGAATTTCACATGTATAAAACTTATAAAATCTACCCCGTATCTAATTACATGCATCTCCACATTCACCTGCGCCGCCATAACACGCTTCCATAGAAATCCAGTTCCACTTTATCCGAAACAATGGCACTAAGTATTTGCCAACAAAATTGTATTGTTTCGATATGAACGGAATACTAACAAGCTGCAGTAGAATTTGAATTTTTCTATCCCCTGTATAATCCTCGAAAACACATTTCCGCAATAACCCGTAGGCGAAATCTACGCACGGTTCTCTGATTCGCCACGAAACAGCCATAAGTTGACTTTATAGCGGTCAAACCGTATTTCGCCGCGAGTCTGCCTGTTTTTCCGCCAAACAATTTGTGCACAAAGTTTAGATACGTATTTTAGTTTGCTGTTCTCTCGTAACAGGAAGCTGTATACACAATGCTAGGCCAATTATGTGCTGCATGCATAGCACGCAACTTCTGTAATCCCAGATGCTCTGTGCATCTAGATAATATAAGTATTTCCGTCTTATTAAATTATAACAATTCGTTTCATTATATCTGGACCGTACACGAACCGCCAGTAAAAAGAAATGCGCTTTGTTAAAATAGATACAATCATGCTCTCTGGGAAAATATAACCCGGTACGATTATTAAGTTACTGGTTGAACTGTTATGAAGTTCAACATAAATTAGTAGATATTTTTATCTAAACTTTATTACGTCGTATTTCATTGCAAGGTTGCGCTGTAAAGTTGATAACACGGTTGCGTGGATAACCCAGATTTTTTTGGAAAAATCGCGGACAAAATCTCTGCGGTTAGGTTAGGTTGCTGCACTCGCGATATTCGGGTTTCTGGCGGCGCTTTATTGTTTTATTTCACTTTGTTGTATGTGAAATGTGTGCTTTTACGATTTTCTCGTTTGGAAGGAATTTGATGAAGTAATATGTGGAATGATTGTATCTACAAAGTGGGGAATGCTCCAGTTTTAAATTTCTGAGGTTTGAGATTTTTAGATGTGGAAAGTTTTACGATTCTGAATGTGGGAAGTGTTTCCACTTTTCTATATAACGAAATTTCATGTTCACATTCCAACATTAGTGCATTCCCAGATTTCTATATTCTAACATTCCTACATTCCAACATTTCCGAATTCCAAGATTCCTAAATTCCTAAATTTCCAAATTCTTAATTTTCCAAATTCCTAAATTTCCAAATTGCAAATTTCCAAATTCCAAAATTTCCAAATTGCAAATTTCCAAAGTTCTAAATTTCCAAATTCCTAAATTTCCAAATCCCTAATTTTCCAAATTCCTAAATTTCCAAATTCCTAAATTTCCAAATTCTTAAATTTCCAAATTCTTAAATTTCCAAATTCCTAAATGTCCAAATTGCAAATTTCCAAAGTTCTAAATTTCCAAATTCCTAAATTTCCAAATCCCTAATTTTCCAAATTCCTAAATTTCCAAATTCCAAATTTCCACAGTTCTAAATTTCCAAATTCCTAAATTTCCAAATCCCTCATTTTCCAAATTCCTAAATTTCCAAATCCCTAATTTTCCAAATTCCCAAATTTCCAAATTCCAAATTTCCAAAGTTCTAAATTTCCAAATTCCAAATTTTCAAATTCCTAGATCTCCAAATTCCTAAATTCCCAAATTCCTAAATCCCCAATTCCTAGATTTCCAAATTTTCAAATTTCCAACTCTCCAAAATTTCCAAATTTTCTAAATTTTCTAAATTTTCCCATTTTTCCCAATTTTCCCAATTTTCCCAATTTTCCCAATTTTCTCAACTTTCCCTATTTTCCCAATTTTTCCAAATTTCCAAATTTTCCAACTTTTCTAAATTTCCAAATACATAATAGACTGTAAAAAACCTCATCATCTTTGCACTCCCTATTTTCAATAAAAATAAATACGTAAATAAATGAAGAGAACGAAATGAAATGGTTAAATGTAGTTATGTAAGTCGGAAGGTAGATTTTCACACGAATCGAGCAGAAAATGTCGGAAAATCAAGTGGAACATAGGGAAACAAACGACTCTGGCTCGTAAGAGGAGAATTTAACCCTTAAAGGCTTCAATCACGGCTGCCTTTCTAACGACATTAAATCCACTTCCGCAAAATCACATTTCAAACTTTGCAGGTTGCCGATTAACTTGTAGCAACCCCTGCAGAAGTACCATACCAACAACTTCACGATTTATACCTTTAGTTTCGCTACTCTCGTTTTACTACATAAATTATGTATTTTGGGATTAGTAGGTTTTAATGTAATTATTAGGAATTTTTGGGTTATCAAGTTGCTAAATTTGGAAATTGTTAGATTGTTAAATTGTCAAACTAGTGCATTAGTAAATTAGCAAATTAACAAATTAGTCTTAAACTGTCAAACTTTCAAATTGTTAAATGAACAATTTAGCAAATTGACTAATTGACAAATTATGAAATTGTCAAATTGTCAAATGAATAAATTAGCAATTTGACTAATTGACAAATTATGAAATTGTTAATTTGTCAAATTAGCAAACTATTAAATTGTCGGTTGAGCAAATGTGCAAATTTGCCAAATTTTCAAATTGTCAAATGAGTAAATTAACAAATTGTCAAATTGTCAAATCAGCAAATTAGTAAATTGTCAAATGAGGAAATTAGCAAATTGTCAAATTGTCAAATGAGGAAATTAGCAAATTTTCAAATTGTCAAATGAGGAAATTAGCAAATTGTCAAATTGTCAAATAAGGAAATGAGCAAATTGTCAATTTGTCAAATGAGGAAATAAGCAAATTGTCAAATTGTCAAATGAGGAAATTAGCAAATGGTCAATTTGTCAAATGAGGAAATTAGCAAATTTTCAAATTATCAAATGAGGAAATTAGCAAATGGTCAATTTGTCAAATGAGGAAATTAGCAAATGGTCAAATTGTCAAATGAGGAAATTAGCAAATTGTCAAACTGTCAAGTGTGGAAATTAGCAAATTATTAACCGAGCAAATGATCAATTTATGAATTTTAAAAATTACCAAATTACCAAATCAGTAAATTATCAAATATCCTTAATACTGTGAATTAGTAAATTTTTACTACTATTAATAAAATTCATAACCTAAAATTTCCCAACCCCAAACAATCTAAAGTATCTAAAGAAATTATCCCTAACCATCGCAGAACATAACCTCGTAAAAAAGAGCGGGAAATTCAAACCAACAACAAACGTTCCCTCAAATATTCCCCTCGAGTCCAATATTTCCAAACCTACGACACGTGTTTCCTCTCTAAAGGAGAATCTTCGAAATTCGGAGATATCCATTAAAGGGGT